CCCCTCCCCCCTACCAGTGCGTATGTACTTTGTGCACGCCGCCTTACTAACTATTCGTATGAATATTAGGCACATTAAAAAAATATTTAGAGGCCTTTCTACTTTCCACTCATACATATGATTTATGATTTTATTTCAATTCTATTCATGTGAACAATGAACACAAGTTATTCAATACACTAATCAAAACAATAATTAATGTGTTATTACTGTTATTGAAAATATACGGTAATTATAAATTGCAATAAAAATATTTTCATTTCTAAATACAGTAACTATTCAATTATGTTGAGATGTCTGTCCACCGATTGTATTGAGTTTCATGTCCGACATACTGTCCGATTCCTCCCCATCGACCTCATCGTCGTATAAATTCTTGATTCTTGAGGACAAGAATATGACGATTATATCGAAGAGACTGCCGATGAAGTAGAGGCCGAGTGTTAGGCCGTGCAGTCGGCGCCGGAATGTTGGCGTGTCGTACGCCCAACAGTTGCCTCTGTGTCCACAACTGGACTCCCATATCAAACACGAGGCATCGGCTAACGCTCCGTAGACCAGTGGGTATATGAATGCTATTCACCAACAGATAAATTGGATTACCAGGATAAATTGGATTCATTTCAATAAGAATTTTGTTTACAACAAATTTATACCAAATATAGCCGTGAAAACAGTCATTAATCCGATGGAAAAACTTTTATCCTCTTTCCTAACGATTCTGTGATTAAAACAGAAAATAATAATTTATGAAAATTCAAGATTTCTGTCCAATTTAATACCGAAACGATATGATACTGTTTCCCGTTTTAGCCAAACACCCGATTATGCCACTTATGCCTAAAAGTGTTATATAAATGTGAAAATTATTGCCACAATCGGTGTCACAATAGCCATCGGTCGCCGATCCCTCAAAGCAATCGCAGTTTGAGTATACCTAACATAAAACAAACTTTAAAAATTATACTGGTCATATTTATTCTCACATTATCTGTAGAATTGATTGACTGTGACTGACACCCAGCAAAACAGGGCGAGAAATAGTTGGTTATATTGTCGGGACCACAGATGGGTTGAAATAATTTGGTTGAACACTGGCACTGGGAGTTACACTGGGATTGCAACTCAAATCTATTATTATATGAAAATTTATGTCAAATATGGCTTTAATTGATGGATGAGTTATATTTACTGTGACTGGAGTGTAGTTCCCGCGAACTGGGACTGCGGGCAACTCAGGAATAAAGCTGACAACAAACCCATCGCTCCAATCATTTCGACAATTGTTACGAAAGCTGTCAGTACTCGAGGCCCGGGAAGGAACTTACGGATAAACAGCCCGCCCAGGAATACACCGGCAGCTGTGGGCACGACACTTATTATACCTATTCATAAAATAAGGGTCAAGTAAATGAATTTAATAAATTATTTAACTTATAGAGTACCTGAAAATAGGTTGGCAGTAGAGGCCGATGTTTTGTACTCGGACTCAATGTATTTGGATTTGAATGTCATATACCCGAGCACTGCAAACAGTCGGGCAGTCGTTCCCAATACAAAGCACACATAAATGGGATTTTTGACCAGGAGTACAGTACGCTCCCATATACCTAAATTTATAGTTAAATCAAATGATTTAGTTCTATCTCAAATGTGAATTTTAATGTAATGTTTACTTTTTTCTTGAGACACTTTAGCAGGACTTTCATTCGCTATGGAGTTACCATTGAGTGCATCACTGGTTTTATGATCACTTTTATTAAAACTTTGGGGAAATAAAAACATTGGGACTGTGAATATGAGTATACCGGTGCCGATTACAATAAACCCAATCCACCAAGCACCTACCCATCGAGGGTCACGCGGATCGATATCCGGATCAACTATAAAATTAATAATTAACTATTTCCATAAATAAGGGAATTATAGCACAAATATTTTTATACGAAATGGGTTTTCATAATATGTCAGACAATAGGATGAGAGCATAAAACCAAGTGTTGGGCCACAGAATTGGACCGCACCCGTAGCACCTGCACCACACGGTTCAGGAAGTGATAAAATTAAAAAAATAAAATCCCTTTCCTCTCAAAATACTGACTCAAATAAAGGGGCGAATTCTTCTTCTTGACCGAGTCGTCGATAAACGGAATTCCTATCGTAAAAAAGGCTACAAATCCTATGCCGTTGCAAAAGCTGCCCAACCATAGCAACACAATAGCCAACACTACGGTACTGGAGGCACCGGTAGGGCCATCGCAATCATGACCGTCCAGTCGGTTTGAATCGCAATACTCGACACTTTTATTCAACACTAAACCCTTGACATCAGTGTTCAATAGGTGTACTCCCGGGCCATATATGAAGTATGGTAGGGCTGCCAAATAGCATCCCAGTGCCACAACTACTTGGCAATAGGCGATCATACGGGGCCGGTGCACACGGGTAGCTAAATAGCCAAACACTGGACTCATCGTGAGCTCCACCACGTTGTCGGCGGTCAGTATAAGTCCGGTAACTTTACTGCCAAATGCATACCTCCGCTCTAATGAGGTTGTGCTGGCGATCATATAAGTGAATGCCGCCCCCTGTATGATACCAAGGGTGCCGAATATGAACATGAACATTTTGGTTGAGGCAAACTTTTGTAGCCATTGCGCTCTCCATGAACCCAAACCACATGTATATTCACTGGACTCCGGAACCGGTGAGATATCATCACTTTTGTAAGTCATGTTAACTTTGATTTTGATTTTATATTTATTACTTTATTATGAATTAAGAATATTATACTATTTATTATAATTAATTAATTAATAATTATTATTCATTTTTAAAAGAAATTGTTTTTAAGGTATTATTTATAAAAAGTTTATTTGGATTTCAATTTAGAGTTTTATTGAATACTAATAATAATCTCAATTTATAATTGATTAAAAATACATTACTAACAGTAAACCTTTGCTTTGGTTTTATGGTTTATTTATATTTAATTCTATCATGATGACATTTTTATCATAATTCGGATATCAGATAACAAATAAATGTTTTGAGCAAAAAATAAAATGAAATAATTGAAACTAATTAAATGAATATTATGACATTTTAAAGTTATGTAAACTACATAGATATAATTTTTAAACTTTACTAAATAAATAAGATAGTTTAAATTATTTATAAATTGCTATTTCCATAATTATTTTTATTCAATATTTTAATATTTTTTAACAACACAGATCATAGTGTAAATAATATCAGTGTCAAGCACATACATATCAATCTAATACACACATAAATTTATCTATATTAAAACGATTAAATAAAGTATTTTACAAATACCAGGAAATGGTTGATTAAATAATAATGTTAGTATCACTCAATTATTGATGTAATCCTTGACAAATTATTACATATTTTTAAACAAAATTTTCAATTTGTTTGTCAGTTATTGTAAATATAGCCAAAAATGTCGACCTGGTTGTACTGTATAATATAATAGTGAGCTTGGTTTAAATGTAACAGGAATTTTCATTGACTTAAATTTCATAATTTAAAATCATTTACAATCTCTACTAAATTACAACTCAACTAATTTTAAACAGTAATAATTAAATTTATACAATTAAATAAACTAATGCACAAGCATCATTTTATATAATTTATATTATAAATGTATCACAAATGAATAAAAATTACAGAATTAAACAAAAAACACATTTTATTTAATGATATCTTAATACATATATAAAAGTATTTCCTGTTATTTAATTCATTTGGTTATTAGAAAACTATTTAAAATGTATTTCATTGTCCGGATATATTATATTAATATTTGATTCAATACAATGTAAATGTTATAAATTTGGAGATTTTACGAGAATCTATTTATAATGTCCATCAATAATGTCATAGCGTATCTTCGTTATTTATAATTAGAAAAATTTTAGAATGCGATTTTTAGAATCAGCTCTGAAAATGTAATTAAAAATTATTTTCATCCATAAATAACGTACTTGTTAAAAACGTAATTTATGAATTTTATTTTCACAAAATTATTTTTCAAAGGGGAATCGATCTAGGGTATAAGTTCAAGTTCTGAAAAACTGTTCATGTCATAATTTTTATTATTGCAAAAATCACCCTATTACCCCAAAGTACTCAAGAGTTTCTCTTCATCAACTTAAAGTAGACTAATATAGCTACTAAAATAACTTTTCATACCCTTGAGTACTGAAGGGTAATACCTTTGAATTCATATTTATAATTTTTAAACATCATTTCTCGTTACAATTTAAATGTTTTAAATAAAAATTTTGAATAAAATTAAAATAGCCTATATAAATATATAATTTAGTGAAGAAACTAATTAAAAATCTCATGTGGTTTTCATTTAATTTAGGTTTGAAATATAATACTTTGGGGTAATACCATTGAATTCATGTTTATAATTTTCAAACATAATTTTCCTTTACAAATTAATTGTTTATGAAAACATTTGTTAGTACAATTAACGAGTCTTATATGTGTTTATAATTTAGCGAAGAAACTATTTAGTTATCTATTATCGTTATCCTGTAATATAGTTTTGAAATATTAGAATATAAACATCCATATTGCATTAATCCTTACAGTTTGAAAAATAATTTTTTGATCATGTGTCATTAGAATCATTGTAAATCAATATGATATCAATAAAAATTTATTTTTGAAACATGATAGTTTCACTTTGACATCGTGTTTAT